AAACCATCCAACACATCTGTTTCAGGTGAGAAATAGAGAAGTCTATAGAATTGAAAGCTGCTTTAAAAAACCAAAAAAGAAAAACCAAATCATTCAGTTCATAACTTCCAAGATGTCAAAGAAAAGAACAGCAAAAGAAATGTAAACTACTTTTCATCAGAACGAAAGAGAACATATCAGAGCCATCAGCTAGCAGATGTAAGAGCTAGAGCTGCCATTGATACGTGTGATAGGGAAGAATGGGTATGTGTGTTTCCCATGAAGACAAAAGTTATATTCCTGTGCCATTGGTTTTAGGTTGCCATGTAAGATTGCGTCAGCCTGTTTGCAGGGCTGGGTGCTGAGCGACATCTTTGTAGTTACGACTGTAAAAAGTTTTTGCTTCTAGAAGATTCTTAGCCTGGAATTAATTATCATTGAGAGTTCAGCATTGACTAATCTGTGGCAACAGAATCCATCTAGCAGAAAGTTGGGACTATAGGAGAACACTTGGGTATTCTAGCAATGATTTTGTTTTCAGTTAATCACAAATACAAATGTTTTGCTACCTATTTCAAGGCAAAAAGACCTTTCCTCATGCAATGAAGATACATTCACAGAATTGCTGATGTTGAACAAAGGAATACTTTGGGTTTGATTTTTCTGAATAAAGAACCTATAAAGTTTGCATACAGTTTTCATGTATGAGTTTGTTAGTATCTGTACAGGCATAGTAAATCAGAGGAGAGTGAGTACTGTGAAACGTGCTTCCTACAGCTGCTACAGTTGTAGACTATAAAATTGTTGCTAACTTTCAATGGCTTTACAGCCAGCTAGTCTTTTCTCCCCCACTATATCTCACTTAGTATGATGGAAGATATGAAAAATCTTTATGTGTATATTCACATAAAAGAATCTTTATGGGTATATTCAGTACTAGACGGTTAAGGTACAAATAGCATGTATGCTTCAAAGAATTTTCTCTATAAAAATTTTGCAAACTGCCAATGTGTCACAAGTGAAAATATTAAAACTTGTTGCTAGGTGCACTGAATGCTGTTAAATGGTGCAGTCCTAGTCTTCATGGTTATAAATCCTCTGTAAATGAACTGATAGAGTTAGCAGCTATAAAACATCAACTTGACATTGATATAACCATTATTGTTAAATTTCTCCAAGTAAGAAAAGGGAAGGGAAAAAAAAAAAGGAATATAAGGACTGGGAAAATGAGAGGTAGGCTCTGAGCTACAGTGCTTTGGTACACTTCAGGTGGAGAATAAGATTTGGCTAAACAGAGCACAGAATCCATACTAGATTCAGTCTGTTCACCTAAGACTGACTTCTGAAGTTTGGGATGCAAGTGCCTTCTGCAGGAAGACTGTTACACTTGGTGCAGAGGGCTGGAGTCAGGGCAAGGGAAGAAAATGGTGTATGTGTGATATATGGGTGTGAGCACTGTAGAGATTTCAAATCCTAGGAAAAGAAGAGAGCCCCATCTAAAAATCAGATTCACAGGTACGTATGTGGGACGCAACTCTTTATCATGCCAGATACATTCTGGATCAGTTGTAAAAAAGCTATGCAAATAAGTAGCTCTAAGCACAATGACTAACTTATACTGATTCTGCTGCATTTTTATTGAGATGACATTTTAACAAAATTATACAAGCGTTGTTTGTAAATGCACCTGCATGGCTCCTAACAGCATTGCTCCCCACCCATTCACCCTGTTTATAGCATTTTAATGTCCCTGGAGTTTTCCTGGAACGGCTATAGTGTCTCCTCCCTGCTGTTCCCTGTTGTTGACCCACCATCGCTTGCTCTGCCATCCAACAAAGAAACTGTACAGGCAACTGCTGATGATCTGGCTAGAAGTATTTGCCAGCTGGCTGGCTGGCCAGCAGCTGCTGCCTGCCCACCTCTACAGGAAGACCTGTAGGTTTGGATGTTGCATGTGGGGTTTTGTCGTATGTTGCAGATGTCCATTGTAAGAACTTACTTTAAAAAAAAAAAAAAAAAAAGAAATCTGCTTTAGTAGCAGGCCTGCAGGTTCCAAAGTTATTAATAGAGGATTGACAGAATGAAACCTTGTTTTCTGACAAAAGCAGGATAAAAATAGAAAATGTGTGGAAAAAAAAAAAAAAAATCTGTGAGTTTTTAATAATAGCAACAATATTAATTTCTAGAATACTTTCTAGCCGTCTCTGTATGTGGGGAAACAGAACTTGTTGATGATTTCCTCCTTAATATCAAAGAAGGCATGTGTTTCAGAACTAATACTTCCTGTATGCTGTGATGATACAGAGGACTGATCTTCTGATACTTTACTAGTGTTCCAGGAATACACAGTTCTGAAAACAGTGCTGCTTTCAGTTTGGGGAACAGTGGGCAGACTGCTCTTTGTCAAGTTTGTCTTATTTTAAGAATTTTTTTTTTTTTTTAGGGTGGAGTTTTAATGTTTTGATGTCAGAATGAAGAGCAGGATACCTCTCATTCTTCTAGCTTGTGGCTCCTTTAACCCCATCACAAACATGCACATGCGTTTATTTGAGCTGGCTAGAGATCACCTGCACCAAACAGGTCAGTGAGGTGTGGTTAGGAGCACACACATGGTGTTTTACTGTGAAAAGGAAGAAAGATTTTTAACACTCACTATAGATGAACTGTCACTTTATAGCTGGCTTAATTTTAATATTGTTTCTTGAACATTCAATATGAGGTTTTCATGGTCTATTCAATATAGAAAGTCTAGCATTACCTTTTCCATTGACTCAGTACATAAACAAGCACCATAATGAGCATTCATGCAAATAAACTGAAAGTTTTATCAGCAGTTTTAGGATCATGTGCATGGAACAGGGTGAGCCTTGCGAAGGAGTGTGCTTATCAATTTTGAAACCGAGGAGAAACATTTAAGTTTAAATTTCGTGCTTTTGTGATACATTGTTTTGATATGAAGTATTACAGTTAGCAGTTTTGACAGCCAGGTGAAACTGGAGAAAAGATGAAACACTAATTATTCATTATCCATTTCACTAAGAGGTACAAGTTATCCCCCCTAGCAAAATAATTTCCTCATAAAGGAGATCAGAAAAGCTAGATGTCAGCAGGCGAGAAAGTTTCAGCAACAAAGGAGAAAGGTGGATAACATCAGGAACTTAAGCAAGGATCAGAAAAGTACTGAGAAGCATTGAACTCTAAGCTTGATCAACTACTTAGTTCCTGAGGATTTTATTTTTTTTCCACCTGGCAGCTGAAATATACACATATGTTTCTGGAAAAGGTTGGAAGGGAATCATAGTTTATTGGAACCTGACAGAGAAGTTCCTAAGGAGGTGGTTCAGTAAGAACCTGAACAGAAAATAATAGTAAAAGGAATTTGGCTGTCAAATTGTGGGGAGGCAGGTAACCCACTGACACCATTGTGCAGTAAAAGCAGCAACTACCTACTCACCATGTACTTTGACTTTCATGAGGAAGAATTACACAACCAGCTCTGAGGGCTGCCTCTGTTGTAAGTGTAAAATTATTTTATTGCTCCTGCAGGACTAGAAATAAAGGGTTAAAAAGGAATTTGAATTTGGCTTTTCTTACTGTAATTTTATAACTGCTTCTGGTGCCCAGGTGTGTAAGGAGTAGAAAGGCAATGTGAGACCAATTGGTACTTCTGTTTAAGTAAGTTATAGTCTAGTAACTTGTTTCTTTACCTTGAAAGAAGGATTGAACTGGGAAATGAATTATGATTCTGTCTGAATCACAATTCATTGTCTGCTCTGCTCCAGGGTCTGTGTAACAAGACAGCACCCCTTACTCAGAGCAGTTTACTTAAACAAGTCTAGAGAAGGTCATAAAAAAAATGAAATTTTGAAAGGCTGAAAGAAAGTTGTGCTTACATTGCACCTCTCTAACATCAGCGCTTAGTTCTAGATAGGATGTGAGTGACCTTTTGACTTCTTAGTTTAATGTGTGAAGTCTTACTAGTGTAAGTACTTCATGCGTTAAAGAAGGGGAATTAATTTCTGTCTGGCTTGCCTACAGAGTTGTTATTGCGCTTTCTGAATGCTTAACCCAAGATGTCTACAAACCAAGAATCCTCAGTTAGCTTGGGGAAGCTTGACCCATCCCAAGCAGAGGTAGCTTTATTTGAAGTAACTATAAATGCAGATATATGTGGTTTTACATACAAATCTGGTATATGATCTTTCTTGCTGTGGTGAAAGTTTCTCAAACAGAAGGGGTTGGCAACATGCTATAAAAATGATCTGGTTTATGGCAGACCCATTCTCACCCAGGAAATTAATTGGTCATTCTCTCCTGTTTTTAGTCCTGTTTCCACTTCTGTGGTTACCAAGGGAAGGAGAGGAGAAATTGGAGGTTATTGGCTGAGAAGAAGCACTAGTCACAGACTGGGAGCTGATGGTGGGGCTGGAGGACAGTGGTTATACATGACTAAAGCTTGTTCAAAGTGAGGTAGTGGTCTGCCATATTCACACTGATTCCATTCCCAGTGAGAATGATGCACTTCTGAGATAACATACAGACTGAATGCCTGAAAAATTGGCTAGCATGAGTGAAGATTTAACTAGCATGAGGAGCAATGTTTCCTAGGCTGTGAGAATGACTTACTGCTGGTAAGAAGAAACACTTCAGTATTTCTGCTTAATCACAAATCGGGCAGAAACGATGAGTTGTTCAGTAGCTTGGCTGGAGTTAACTTCACAGTCAGGTTTTACTGTTATGAATGACATGAATATCCCTGATGTGCATCCTGACTGACATCTCCAGTAATTCTGTCTGCCAGCTTTTTGCACATCACTTCAGTTTCAAATGCTGTCTAATCTTATTTTTCATACATCCCTATTTTGTG